AACAACAACAACAACAACAACAACAACAACAACAACAACAACAACAAAACTTTTAGGAACTAAAACGCCAGAGTGTTCTCCTTTTCCAACCTGATCTGGCAGAGCGGTCTCAGGTTTCATTTGCTGAAGCAACAAGACAACTTCTTTTCCACCTGATCTAACCTCGACGTGCACACTTTCACAGTGGGTCCTGGTTATGACGCGTGCTAATGCTGACTGAGCATGGACAACTGGGAGACGTGCACCCAAAACATTAAAAAACAAAACGACAGCCTGGATGCTCTGCAAGGCTGCACAATGTCTTGAACATGCATTGTCCATGCAATATCAATATCCCAAAGATTTACCATCAACTGCAAACCCACACCTGACGCCAACATTCAAATGGATCCCCACTGTTCTAATAGCCCACAGCTAAAATATAAGAACATAGCTGAAATGCTAAAGCTAAAAAATGCTTCAACAGTGTTGTCATGTTGACAGTAGACAAAGAAAAAATGAGGAAATTGCAGTCAAACTGTCATCACAGTATTCAACAATATTATTGCACTTGTACTTGTTTACAAGTTAGTTGTGAGACCAGCTATGGTGTACGGTCTGGAGACAGTGGCATGGACAAAAAGACAGGAGAAAGACCTGGAAGTGGCAGAAATGAAGATGTTGAGGTTCTCCTTAGGAGTGACAAGGATGGAGAAGATTAGGAATGAGATCATCAGAGGTACAGCACAGGTTGAACAACTGGGAGATAAAGTTAGAGACCAGACTGAGATGGTTTGGACATGTCCAGAGGAGGGACAGTGGGTATACTGGTAGAAGGATGTTAGAAATGCAGCTGCCAGGAAGAAGACAGAGATATATGCATGCAGTTATAGAGGACATGGAGGTAGTTGGAGTGAGGACAGAGGACGCAGAGGACGGAGTGAGATGGAGGATGACTCGCTGTGGTGACCCCTGAAGAGGGAAAAGCCGATAGAAGAAGAATTATTGCACTTGCACATTTTTCTAGCATTGCTAATGCTCGGGATTAATGGCACTAGAACGTTTCTATGAATTGTTTAGCAACACGGTCAAGGTTAGCTAAACGTATGGGACACTGTCCATTCATCCGTCTCTTTATCTCCCAGTTGTTCAACCTGTGCTGTACCTCTGATGATCTCATTCCTAATCTTATCCATCCTTGTCACTCCTAAGGAGAACCTCAACATCTTCATTTCTGCCACTTCCAGGTCTTTCTCCTGTCTTTTTGTCCATGCCACCATCTCCAGACCATACACCATAGCTGGTCTCACAACTAACTTAACGCCACCACCATTGACTTTATAAAAACTGGTATACAAGCAGGGGCAGCACGGTGGTGCAGTTGGTAGAGCTGCCGCCTCTCAGCGAGAAGGTCACCGGTCCAAATCCCAGCTGGGGGGTCTTTCTGGGTGGACTTTGCATGTTCTCTCCATGCAGGCTTGGCTTTTCTCTGGGTAGTTCAGTTTCCTCCCACAGACCAAAAACATGCATGTTACTGGGCTGATTGGTAACTCTAAATCATCCCTAGGTGTGAGTGAGAGAGTGAATGGTTTTGTCTCGTTTGTCTCCATGTAGCCCTGTGATGGACTTGTGACCTGTCCAGGGTGTACTCTGCCTCTCTCACAGTGATGGCTGGACATGGACACCAGTGACCACTGTGACCCAAAAAGGAAGATGCGGTTAAAGATAATGGACCGACCGACCGAGAACAGTGGAAAAATCTTTGGCTTCGTGATGAAAGAGAATGGTCATTATGGGGATCAGCTTTAAAATGGCAATACGGTGACATTGACCAAATTTGACTTAGATTTTTCTTTATTGTTAGGATAATAAAAGCTCATGTCTGCAGGAGGCAGAGTGGTTGCGGTAATGAGAACACAGGAGGCTTTAGTTACAGACAAACGCTGATTCGAGTCAATCTCATTACTGACAATCCACTGGAGACGCTCCGCTCGGAGCATCGTTATACAATTAATGTGCAAACTTTAAAAAAGAGAAAGGTGATCATAGACCACAAAATTAAGCAGGTTTATATGGGGTGGTGTTGACTCATTTTTTTCTCACTACAAAGGAGTTATTTTATTATAATCAAACAAACTAACAAAAAAAATTGTGTAGTGTTTTATCCTCAATTCTCTGGTTTCTGGTATGACAAACATTCACAAACAAAGTTTTATGGAACGTTTACTAAAAGGAGAAAATATAGTTTTTGTAGGTGTTTGTGAAACATTATGTACCCAAAAAGGAAAGCGAGCATCATTTAGCTGCAGAATATAACCTATTGAGAGCAAGAAAATACGCAAAAACTGACAAATTGTCCTCGTTTTACGCTATTTGTCTTATTCCCCTGCATATGTTGCTGCGTGTTCCTCATCACTGACAATATTTCTTGGGAAGAAGCTGATCAAAGTGCAAATTCCAGTCAGGAACTCTGTTTTACCTGGAAGTAGACACATCCCTTAGTGTCAAAAGGCTGTGCTCTTGTTGAAGTTTTGATTATTAATATTAAACAAGGCTAGTGCAATTCATGGTTTCATACATGCACTTAATAATTAGCCTTTACACTTATCAAATTTTTTGCATTACCGTCATCAGACGTTATGCAAAATAATCTAAACGGGTCAACTCTAAATCGTCCCTAGGTGTGAATGAGAGTGAGAGGTTGTTTGTCCCTGTGTGTCCCTGTGATGGACTTGTGACGTGTCCAGGGTGTACCCCGCCTCTCACACAGTGACTGCTGGATATGGGCACCAGTGATCCCCATGATCCGAAAAGGAAGAAGAGGATAAAGATAATGGATGGATCAGGCGTCATATTTTCTCTAAAAATAGTCACACAGGTGCTGGATAATGGTCAGTCAGGTCATCTGGACGGTTTCTTTTTAGTGGAAAGACGTTTCGCCCTCTATCCAGAGGGCTTCGTCAGTCTGACGAGTCCCAAGTCAACTGTTTCCCCACTAAGCAGTACACTCCTTTAGTGGACCAACCAGTTTGCTGGTGATAAGATGGTTTCTGGGGGCTGTCCTGTCTCCCATCGACTCCTCCCAGACAGACAGCTAAAGTGGTTCAAGACGTCAAAGTTCATGCTCAGTCATCCAGGTACAAAATCCAATAATGGTCAATCATGTCATCGGGACAGTTTCTTTTAAGTGGAAAGACGTTTCGCCCTCTATCCAGAGGTCTTCACCAGGTGCTGGCTATTACCTGGCAGTTCTGGACGGCAACAGCAAAGGGACCTTCTACAATTCATGTCAGCCTGGTCTTCACCACACAGCTTTTGCATTTCCTCCACTCTATTGGAGCGCATGTTTCAAATGAAGATGGGTAGATTTAGACCAGTATATTTATTTTAGTCTTCTGTCAGAACGCCTGTGAAGTTGCCAAAATTCATCTCGAATGCTCTTGAGACGTGTTCAGACGCCCTCGACGACTCCGTGACTATTCTGAGACTGGGTTTTTCACGCAAATTCTTTGAACACGTTCAACATTCAAGCAACAAGATTGCGGGCTTCTGCCTCATAAGAGAGGAAATAAAGAACCCTTGCAAACGTTTCGAGACATTTTGGAGACTCCTTTGCGAGTTGCCAATCGCCGCATTGCCCGTTGTCTGACATTCTTGTGACCATTGCATCAAAAGAATCTGCAGTTTGTCATGAGAATGTTGGTTCTCTTATAAATGGCAGCTGTTGGATTGGTGCATCTTTCTTATCTAAGCCTTTATAAGGACTCTCTGGGAGCCACGTGTGCAGCTGTTGTGCAGTTTTACAAGTATAAGAGCCCAGCTGGTCCACTCCGTGTTGCTGGACTGCAGCTTTTGTGCATCTTAAAAGCCAGGAGCAAAAACCACAGCGATGTGACTCTGCTTCAGGCCTAAGCGGAGACTAATCCCCCGCTCTGCTGGAGGAAGGTGCATCGTTCTAGCTGCTATCAAACCACCCTGGGCTCTGAATGCTGCGTTCCTGTGAGAAACTCGTGCATTCTTGCAGGGAGGCCGGCGAGTGGAAAACAAAAGATGCTGCAGATGGATGTAGGTCACAACAGGTGCAGCCGGGGCCTACACGGAGAAGAGCTGTTACCGGTTACTTACTCTGCGTATCCGGTGGCCCACGGTAATCTCCTGGTTTCCTTTAAGATCAGGATGGGCCGAGCAACATGGTCCGCCGAGCACTCGATCTCATCCGGGGACAGTCCGAGGAACTCCGGTCTCATATAAGGGAATTTCAGCGGTAAATCCGAGCCGGGATTCCCACCTCCTCCTCCCGAGCCGCCCCCGGTCATTATTCCGCCCATGAACCCGGCCACGGCCGACTTGACCCGGGTGAGCATGTTGTTGTTGTTGGCTCGCCGCGGCGGGGTGTCCGTCGGCCGGTGAGCTGCGCCGCGGCTGCCTTTCCCCGGATTCCCCCCCAGCTCGTCTCGGCCTGCTCGACGGAGGTGACGAGAAGCGGCGGAGGATGGAGGAAGCACCTCGGTTGGTTAGGGTTTCATTGACTCGGAGCAGGGGGTGTCCAAGGACGGAGGAGGAGATGGAAACAGCCCCGGTGCTGCTGGCGCGCCTCCACCGAGAGTCATGGACGCGGAAAAACACTGAAGATTAAAGGATCACGTGACTCATCGGTGGATGAACGCTGTAAAAAATAAAAAAACGTCTGAGCGAACAGGCGTAAAAAAAAAACATTACACTGCAAAAAATGAAATCCACATTTGGACTCGTGTTGTCATTTTATAAAATAATCAGCAAAACAAAAAAGCTAAAACTACCAGAAATATTATTAACGGATAAACTGAGTAGCTAAAAGTAGGCAAACAAAAAACAGCACCAAGTAAAATGAGCTATATGTAGCTTAAAACTAAAAATTAGCAGAACATTTAAATGTAAGAAGCGCAGCTGAAAGCTACAATTAGCAAAACATTAAATGAGAAAATAAGCAAAACTATAGCTATAAGCCGAACTTGGCAAAACAGTAGCTAAAAGCTACATGTGTTCTAAAATTTGGCACATTTTTTTAAAACTAAATTGTTAAAATCAACACATAGAACAGAAGCAAATATCAACAAATGAATAAATCTGATGAAATTTGCAAAACATTAAATGAGAAAATAACAAAACCATAGCTAAAAGCTAAACTTAGCAATACCTAAAAACTAAAATAAGCAAAACAATGAACGTTAAATTGAGAACAGCCTAAAAGCTAAAATTAGCAAGATAGTAGCTGAAAGGTAAATGTGTGCAAAATTTGGTAAAACATGAATTTTTTTAATTGAATTGTTAAATATAACAAGTAGAACAGACGCTATTATCAACAAAACGGTAACTAAAATGAGCAACATCATCGGTAAAACTTAAAATGAGCAAAAAAGTAACTAAAATCTAAAGTTCGGCAAAACATCACTGAAACATCAACACTGAACTTGAGGGAGGTTGTAGAGACAGCAGCCCAAAATTTTGAAATAATAATTGTCCATTTTGAATCAGTATCTCCTCAGAATGTGATGCTTTTCTTTGATGTTTTTAATTAAAGACAATGAGAAAAGTAAAGTAAGTCTTGTCAGCTTTCAAAGACGAGATTAGGAGCAACACCAGTTAATTAACGTTGATGGAAGTGCACCCTGTCCCATTAGGTTATGCAATTTATAGGACCTAACCCTGGTGAGTTAAGGTAGCTGAGTATATTTTAATCCAACTTTGGTCCATGTAGTGACTGGATGTGTAGATCTGGACTAGTTTGAGTTGAAAATTGGCACAATCAGTTGAAAAACTACAACCTGAAGAGACAAGAGGGGCCAAAAAAAGTACTACCGATGCTAGTAAACCCCAGTAGATGGAGCCAAAACATCAAGGACAGCGATAGAGCAAATCCTCTACAAAGCAATGCTTTTCCAGGAAAGACTGTAAACCTCAGATGCTCTTTTGGAAGTATGTCTTAAAGGAAACTGTACTATAAATTAATCAGAAGTGAGCCATTATTTAACTTCTCTTTACTCCAGTTTTAGGTCACTGCAGGTTTTCTGAATGAGGCCTGGGATCTACAATATGCCAAAAAAAAACCTAAATTACTCATTGTTTTCTTCAAAATGCCTGTATGTGTTAAAAACTCATGTCACTGGATTATATTGGTTGTTTTCTACCATTCTATAACAGTACTAAGAGGTTTAAATGTCAAGAAAAAAAAATGAATCTTTAGCTACATTTGAAGAATGTTTTTTTTTTTTCGTTTCTATCATTTAATGCTTTATTTAAATTTCGTTGCCCGACATATCAGAAAAGCACAAAGCGATCTGTCATTACAGCCGCTCATTCAGACGCACATTTTGCTCCTAATTAAAAGTTGCCGTCATGTGACCTGAGGCTGACCTGAAGGTGTTCACCACGTCTCCTTCTCAGAATTAAGGTTGTACGAGGTGCAAGTCTTCCATGTCATGCTGCTCTTCTCTGAAACAGTTCGTCAACAAGGGGAAGTACAGGTTTTGTAAACCTAAAGAATGTGAGGATGTAGAGTGTTTGTTAAAGCAGCAGGAAAAGAGGATGGGTGGAGACTATCTTTCATCTCCTTTAAAACGTGGTCATAATATGTCACATGACTGCAGATGTCATTGCAACGGTGTGGAAACATGTTTGCTGAAACGGTTAATAAGGAGCTCAAAAGCCAACATCAATAAAGTTGAGTGCACCTCTTCAAAAGCAGTAGTCCAAAATGCCAAGAGGAAGTTTATTTTCTAAAATTATTGGAGAGTTAAATGTCACAAGCTTCTCTGACTTTCAGAAGAGTTGTTTAACTTCAAGTGATGGTTCAAATCTTCTGAGCAGGTTTGAAAAGGTCATGAAGAATTATATGACCGATGGTGGGGTCCCGACTCCAACTTTGGTAACCACTGACCAAAACTATTATATTGAAGTAGTCCGTTATTGTTATTTTTATTTTATTTTGTTGTTTTTTAATCCACGTCTGTGGAAATGTTTGCAGACTTGATCACACGTGTTTGAGTTCAATCTAAGCAGAAGGATTGTTGCTGTTTTTCAGACGACTTTTTGTTTGCGTGCAGGTTTATGGGTCATAAAAGTTCCATCGATAAGTCCATCAAAAGTTCATTTATTGTGAAATAAGAGCCACATTAGTACACCATTGGATGTTGGTGATGGGATGTGTTGGATGACTTACGTTTTGAAGCATTTAACCCTTCCCAAATAGGGAAAAGCCCTTTTTTTTTTCCTCTTATCAAAAAGCTCCGCCTCCTTTGTCTAATATCAGCTGTTCAGCAGCTGACAGTCACTTTGTTGTGCTCCATGCAGGAAATCATCGCAGAAAATTCAGCCTCACCTGCATCTCTGGTTCCCAGAAAGGGAGACGAGAAGAGCTGAGACTTAAAAGGAGCAGCAGCAGACGTCCTGGACTGGACAGTGACAATGATCCTCTGGCTCGTCTTGCTGACGTCTTCCAGCAGCTTGAGTGGAGCTGCAGCAGAAAGCACAGGACTGGAGAGGATTGACACCTGCCACACGAGATGTTCTCAGGTAAAACTCATCAAATCAAATACAATTAAAAAAAAAAACTGCAGATTGAACGTTTAAACACGTCTGTGTCTTATAATTATCAACAACTCTTATTGCTATTAAAGTGTCTGCTGCTCTTTACACTTCATCAATCCGTTCTGGACTCAGTTTGACGTTTGATTATTTGGATTATAAAATGTTTTGGTACTTGCTTCTAGGCAGCTTGAGCTTTTCAGGTAAACACAAAGTTGTGATGCCCTTCATATCTCGTTTATGATGAGTAAGAATGAAAGCACAGTTTATTTCTGACTCTGGATGACTCATAGTGAGTCACAAAGGTATTCCTTTGAAAAGAGCTGCAAAACTTCTGATGAGCTTTTGTTTACAGGTTTGATTTGCAGTCATTATAAAGGAGGAAACTGTAGAAGTGGTCTTTTAGTTTCCTACATGTAATTATATCAAATCAAGGGAACGTTTTTATTTTTTCCAAGTTTCTGCAGCAGCACAAACTTTTCACAAGATATTTTCAAACTCGGTTGTAAGTGGCGCTGACATCATCGTAACCTCCGAAGAAGAATTCCCTCAGACAATAGTTGAAAAAGACGCATGCAAGTAACAGATTACAGTTTAAGTCAAGCGTTTCTATAATCTGAGGGTCTTGTTTGGTAGAAACTGGAAAAAAAAACAACAACCACCGGATCTTTTAATTTGCTTTTCTAAAGTTTCTGTATGTGTAAAAGATTTAAGATGATTATGTTTGTTCTTTTTACACATTTTTAATCACAAATTGTTGCCGGATTCATCTAGACTGAACTTAAAGCTCCATCTACTCCCAAGATTTTTATTAGCATTTGAATTTTTGACAAACATTTACCTACGTTTAAGAGGAATTACTTTCATATCTGTACTTTTATAGCGTCTTTCTATCTGATCAAGATACTCAGTGTTTTACAAAACATTCTGTGTCCTCATTTACCCATTCATACATCACTCTACAAAGCTAACTGAACAAATCATTCTAAAGAGACTAATCAGAGCTTTATCACATTCATACACTGATGGGACACACATCGGAGGCAACGAGGGGTTCAGTGTCTTGCCCAGGGACACTTCGACATGTGACTGCTGGTGGATTCAAACCCCCAACTCTTGCATTGGAGGACGACCACTCTAACCACTCAGCCACAGCCGCCCCAAAAAGCAAGATAATCATTTGGAGCCTCCCACTTCAGAAACTGTAGAAAAGTGTGTTTTTTAAAAACCGTATAGATTAAGGATGCACAATATTATCAGCATGTTATCTGTATCGATGGATGTTAGCGATAAAGTTAAATAGCGGACATCGGCCGTTCCATCAGAATAAATCACCGATATAAAAGATGTTGTTTTGGTATGACAACCCAGTGACAAGGAGAGTTGAGTTGATCATTAAGATTGTATAACCACGTATTGCTCTTCTGTTTAAGTGCATTTTTAATTTAAGAAACTGTCAAGTTATTAATGCACTGCTACTTATGCACTTTTCGCTTGTCTCTTGTGAACAGGTTGAGTTTAGATTTGTGCAAATGTACAAATTTGCACTGTTTGAGTGTTGTCATTGTGTTTAGAGAGTAAATGTCATGAATAAATTTGACACTAAACATAATCCAAGTTGAAGTGTTGCATCATTTTCAGCCCCCTTTTTGGCACCTGCATTTGGACGCAGGTCACACTGACAAAGACCATGCAGAATAATGTCGTCTTTTAATTCCACAGCAGAGAAAGCGATGTAGAGTCGGTCTAGGGGGAAATGCCCTTTTCTTTTCATGTGCAAAAGAAAACAACTTCTGACGGC